GCGGAGGAGGAAACGGAAGCTCACACAGCTCGCTGAGCCGCTCCGAGCTCCGGGCCGGCCGCCGCGCGCTCCCGGTCTGCCGCTCCCCGGAGGCCACGGAGGGCACAACAAAGCCCCCCCTCCCCTTCCCCGGGCAGCCCGCTCAGGAACCAACTCCTGAAACCCCCGGCCAGGTTCTGGTTTTGCTTTGTTTGATTTTGGTTTTCTGGCGTCCTTAAACTCTGAGATTTCTCCCGGTTCCGGTTCGAGACCTCCCGGGTTAAGTAAGGTACTCAGGGCTCGGTTCCAGATCCGCATTCAGGCCTGAAGCTCTCAAGAGCGTTATTACGTGGATGACTCTGTACACGATGTTAAAATCTCGCTTTAGAATCTGCAATAGTATCTGTATTGTGAGGATTAATACGGTCTTTCTTTGTTGTTTTGAGATGCAGCCCGGTAGTCCTCACACAGGACTGCCTCCTCTGCCACAATGGTAAGGTGATTAGCATGGACCCGCTTAGCCAGCTCAGTGTCTTGATTCTGTTTGTTTGTCCACAGTGTTGGGATTAGAGATGAACATACTTGTTTGTGTTTGTTTTTAGGAAACCTTAAAACCTCCCAGAGCCTGACGTGGTAGCGAAAGTCTTTAATGCCAGCACTCAGAGGCAAGAGGATCACTGTGTGTTTGAGGACATTCTGATCTACATAGTGATTTCCAGGACAGAGAGACCCTTTCTCAAACACATACATACATACATACACACATACACAGCAAATCAGAGACTTTTGTTTCCATCTGTCATTTGTAGTAAGAATAAAGAGACTGACCTCTAACTAGAGAGCAATGGAGAGGGACAAGCGAGATCTCTGCAAGTTCAGGACCAACCTACTCTGCATGGTAAGCCACATCAGCCAGGACTGCAGAGTTGGGCACTGTCACCCTGCCTCCCAAACAGACAGCAGGACTACTTTAGGCACAAGCATTTATCACAGTATACTGGACACATATTTGAGTGTAGCCATTCAGACAAATAACAAACCAGAATTTGAAATGTCCCCAGGAGAGGGGCTATGTGCATGTCAGGGGAACATAGAAACAGGTCTTATTAACTCTGCCCTTCGAATAAAATCCCAAGCAAAGCAGCTCAGAAATGCAGAGAGATGTAAAGCTAGGCATGGTGGTATAAACCTGTAATGCCAAGCCCTTGGGAGATGGAGGCAGGAATTATCCTTGGTTATGCAGGGGCCACGCTGGCTACATGAGATCCTTCTCAAAAGCAAAAATAAAAACCGTTTCGAACTGGGGGTGTAATTCAGTGGTAGAGTCCACAGGTCGATTATTGAAAGTCCTGGGTTCAAGACCAAAGGAAAAAATATTTTTTGAAATGCATAAACTAACGTAAACACAAGAAGAGGGCTGGGTGTGTGGCTCATCTAGCCCCTTGTACATGTCTAGGGCCTAGTTTTGGTCCCTAATAACTTCTTCTCCCCAAAAGTAAGTAAATACACATAAGATCAAAGAGTTCTTAGGCTTCCTTTTGCTAGAATAGGTACACGTTTTAACTGTTGATGAGAGCAGGAATATTCTTAGCGGACAGCAACAAACCTGGGGCGTTTGTTACAAGTCTTCTTCATTTACTTATTTGTAGCCATTAAGGTTGTTCCCATAGTCCAACAATTGTAATTGTAATTGTAAGTGTATGTATGTAAGTGGGCATATACAATCCACAATGTGTTTCTGGAGGTCAGAGGACAACTTTTAGGAGTAAGGTTCTCTTATTCCATCATGCAGGTTGCTAGGATCAGACTCAAGTTGTCACTTGTGGCTGCTAGTATCTTATCCTGCTGAGCCGCCGGCCCGGACAGTTTCTTAGACGGTTGCTATTATTGGGTTCCTGTGATGTCGGCTGTTTACCTCTCTACGCGGCCTTCTGCTTTTATCTAATTCTACTTACAGATGTCAGAGTCAGACTCTCGGTTTGACTTATAAGTCAGGCCTGGCTTATGTGTGGCGGCGCCAGCCCGAAGTCTCGATACCTGTGAGGCCGAAGGCACAGGAGTTTCAAGTTCCAGGCCCACCATCTCAAACGACAAACGTTCCAGAAGAAAGTCTGTTAACTTCTTGTTGCAATTAAGCGTATAGAATCATAAGTCAGACATACAGTTCGGAGATTAAAGCAAGTGCTTCTTTCTCAGCGCCTGTGTGATGAGCTGAACCACAGCTGATTGGCTGTCTGAGTGATCCCCTTTGTTCTCAGGGCGGGGATGTTCCCCTGAGTTAAGCAGTAGCACCTGAGAACTGATGGGAGCCTTAAAGGTGGACACGAGATGAAGCGTGGGCTCCAAGGGGGAGTTAAGCCAGGAAGTGATAGTGGCATATGCCTGTCACCCCAGCTGTATGGAAGACTGAGGCAGGAGGATTGAAAATCTAAGTCTTGCTTACAGAGTGTACCTGGGCTACAGAGCAGGTTCAAGATCAGCCTCGACAAGTTAATGAGACCCAGCGGCTCAGACTAATTAACGTAAAAAGAGATTTGGCAGTGCGGCTTGAGGACACAGTTTGCAGAACATATGCAAAGTCTCTTTGTAGCCCAGGCTGGCCTCAAATTCAGGATCCTCCTGCCTCACCCTGCATTCCTCAGTCCCCCCAACCCCCCATCACAAACACACACAGGAGGAAATGACTCTGGGCTCTTCAGGAAGCCCGTGAAGAGGACTTGCCTTTGAGAGAAGTTCAGTTTCTTAAAATGTTAAATTTGCCCTAAATCCTGAATATCTTAAAACATTCTTAGAATAGTGTCTTTTCCACCTAAGAAACAGAATGCCTGGCTGTGACTAAGGACCTCGACTTCTCCATGTGACCATCTTGCTTGAATACGATACAGAGGGCCAGTATAACACAGGCATTTCACCAAGATAAACAGGAAGGCAGTCTCTGAGTTCTGGGGAAAGGGACTGGAAATCAGAGCCATTTTCTAACTCTAGTTTTGGGACATGCACGCGCACACACATGGGCGTGACTGGAAGCAGCACCTGCTGTCCATGAAAGGGGATCTGCCAGGCACACGGTGAACTTCCTTCCTGCCAACTCTGTCTCTAGTGAAAATAAATCGTTCCATGAGACTTTATGTCCAGGAAAATGTACCCATGACCAAACTTTAACAGTTTAGGATTTTAAAGTTGCCAAAAAAAAATTATGCCCAAATTTCATTAAAATTTTTCTTTAAGAAAACATTTATTCTACCAAGCATGGTGGTGTATGCCTTCAATCCCAGCACTTAGGAGGCAGAGGCAGGAGGATCTATGAAGAAAGACGGAAAAACCAAAACAAAGATGTGTGTGTGTGTGTGTGTGTGTGTGTGTGTAGGTTAAAGGACATCTTGTAGGAGTTGGTGCTCTTGTTCCATTCCATGAGTTTCAAGAATCTAACTCAGGTTTTCAGGCTTGGTGGCAAGAGTCTTTACCCACTGAGCCATTTTGCTGGACCCAAGAAATAATATTTTTTCTTCCACTCTTTCAGATAGTCTTTTGTAGCCCAGGCTAGCCTCAGATTTGCTATATGCTTAAGAATTACCATAAACATCTTCCTGCTTCTACCCGCAAAGTGCAAAAATATAGGTGCGGGCGCCATGCCTGGGTTATGTGGCACTGAGGGTGGAACCCAAGGCTTCGAGAATACTAGGTAAGCACTCAGCCTACTGAGCTACATTCCCAACCCCATGATTTTGACTGGTTTTGTTTTGTTTTGTTTTTCAAGACAGGGTTTCTCTGTGTAACAGCCCTAACTGTCCTGGAACTAGCTCTTGTGGGCTAGGCTGGCCTTGAACTCAGAGAGGTCCCCACACCACAGCAGCCCAGTTTGGCCTTCAGACCCGCAGCTGGGCTTCTTCACCAGCCTTCAGGGTACTAGAGTGACAGGCATGGGCCTCCACGCCCAGAAGAGGCATTTTGAGAAGTGGGGCGAGCCTGCTTGTCTGCTGATAACCACTTGTCTGTAGGTGATGAATCTTCATGAGAGGAATGCCTAATTGATCTTCAGGTTTCCTCAGAATATTAGGGTGACTGCAGCAGCTGAAGCAGGTGGTGGTCTATCTCTTGAGGGCAGCCAAGGATTATTGCAGGTTGAGTAAGATTTCCCTCCCAATTAATCACAAGCCCTTTATTAAGGTACCTGGGCATACTACACAACACTGTTCAGTGCTGGTTTCTATAGCCCTGAAACATTTTGTCTTCCCAGAGAAGCTGCTCTCAACCTGTGGGTCTTGACCCCTTTGGGGTCTGAGGATCCTTTCACAGGGGTCGTCATATAACATTTCACCATATCAGAATAATAGTAGCAAAATTGCAGTTATAAGTAACAACAAAAATAATTCTATGGTTGGGGTCACCACAGATGAGAAGCTGTTTTAAGGGTTGCAGCATTGGGAAGGTTAAGAGCCACTGCTACAATGATTATTACACACCACACCAATATCTGGGTGATACCTGCTTAGATACATATTATATATTGATTACATATAATGTATATTTTTCAATTTTGGGGGTTTTTGTTTTGTTTGTTTTTTTGGTTTTGTTTTGTTTTCGAGACAAGGTTTCTCTGTGGCTTTGGTACCTGTCCTGG